CAATCAAACCTTCAAACAACTAAGATAACTAAATGCAGGAATCACCACATACCTATCAGTACTAACACTTAATGTTAATGGACTTAATTCACCCATCAAAAGACACCGTTTGACAAAATGGATTAAAAAGAAGATCCAACAATTTGTTGCTTACAGGAGACTCATCTCACCGACAGAAATAAGCATATGCTTAGGATGAAAGGCTGGAAGAAGATTTACCAAGCCAATGGCCCCCGAAAACAAGCAGGAGTAGCAATACTTATCTCTGACAAAGTAGACTTCAAACCTACATTGATCAAACGAGATAAAGAAGGACATTCCATACTAATAAAAGGGGAAAGACCAAAAGGAAATAATAATCATCAATCTGTATGCACCCAATGTCAACGCACCCAATTTCATCAAACATACCCTGAAAGACCTAAAAGCATATATAAACGCCAACACAGTGGTTGTGGGAGACTTTAACACTCCATTATCATCAATAGATAGGTCATCCAAACAAAAAATCAATAAAGAAATCCAAGATCTAAAATATGCAATAGATCAAGTGGACCTAGTAGATGTCTACAGAACATTTCATCCAACTCTACACAATATACATTCTTCTCAGCAGCCCATGGAACCTTCTCCAAAATAGATCATATCCTAGGGCACAAAGCAAGCCTCAGCAAATATAAGAAAATAGAAATATACCATGCATACTATCTGACACAATGCAGTAAAAGTAGAACTCAACAACAAAAGTAAAGACAAAAAACATGCAAACAGCTGGAAACTAAATAACTCATTACTTAATGAAGAATGGATCATCGATGCAATAAAAGAGGAAATTAAAAAGTTCCTGGAAGTCAATGAAAATGAAAACACAACCTACCGAACCTATGGGACACAGCTAAGGCAGTCCTTGAGAGGAAAGTTTATAGCCATGAGTGCATATATTAAAAAGACTGAAAGATCCCAAATCAATGACCTAATGATACATCTCAAACTCCTAGAAAAACAAGAACAAGCAAATCCCAAAACAAATAGAAGGAGAGAAATAATAAAAAAAGAGCTGAAATCAACGAAATAGAAACCAAAAAACCATACAAAGAATTAATGAAACAAAAAGTTGGTTCTTTGAAAAAATAAACAAGATCGATAGACCCCTGGCAAACCTGACTAAAATGAGGAGAGAAAAAACCCAAATTAGTAGAATTAGGAATGCAAAAGGGGAGATAACAACAAACACCATGGAAGTCCAGGAAATCATCAGAGACTACTTTGAGAACCTATATTCAAATAAATTTGAAAATCTAAAAGAAATGGACAGATTTCTAGATACATATGATCATCCAAAACTGAACCAAGAGGAAATTAATCACCTGAATAGACCTATAACACAAAATGAAATTGAAGCAGCAATCAAGAGTCTCCCCAAAAAGAAAAGTCCAGGACCTGATGGATTCTCTGCTGAATTCTATCAGACCTTTAAAGAAGAACTGATACCAACCCTCCTTAAACTCCATGAAATAGAAAGGGAAGGAAAACTGCCAAACACATTTTATGAAGCCAGTATTACACTTATCCCAAAACCAGGCAAAGACACCTCCAAAAAGGAGAACTATAGGCCAATCTCCTTAATGAACATTGATGCAAAAATCCTCAACAAAATAATGGCAAATCGAATTCAGCAACACATCAAAAAGATTATTCACCACGACCAGGTAGGCTTCATCCCAGGATGCAGGGGTGGTTCAACATACGAAAATCAATAAACGTAATAAACCACATTAACAGAAGCAAAGACAAAAACCACTTGATCATCTCAATAGATGCAGAAAAAGCCTTTGATAAGATCCAACATCATTTCATGATAAAAGCTCTAAGAAAACTAGGAATAGAAGGAAAGTTCCTCAACATTATAAAAGCTATATATGACAAACCTACAGCCAGCATTATACTTAATGGAGAAAAATTAAATCCATTCCCTCTAAAATCAGGAACCAGACAAGGATGCCCACTATCTCCACTCCTATTCAACATAGTACTGGAATTCCTAGCCAGAGCAATTAGGCAAGAAGAAGGAATAAAAGGAATACAAATAGGTAAAGAAACTGTCAAAATATCCCTATTTGCAGACGACATGATCCTATACCTTAAAGACCCAAAAAACTCTACTCAGAAGCTTCTAGACATCATCAATAGCTATAGCAAGGTAGCAGGATATAAAATCAACATAGAAAAATCATTAGCATTTCTATACACTAACAATGAGCAAACTGAAAAAGAATGTATGAAAACAATTCCATTTACAATAGCCTCAAACAAAAAACCTAGGTGTAAACCTAACAAAAGATGTGAAAGACCTCTACAAGGAAAACTATACACTTCTGAAGAAAGAGATTGAGGAAGACTATAGAAAGTGGAGAGATCTCCCATGCTCATGGATTGGTAGAATCAACATAGTAAAATGTCGATACTCCCAAAGTAATCTACATGTTTAATGCAATTCCCATCAAAATTCCAATGACATTCATTAAAGAGATTGAAAAATCTACTGTTAAATTTATATGGAAACACAAGAGGCCACGAATAGCCAAGGCAATACTCAGTCAAAAGAACAATGCAAGGTATCACAATACCTGACTTCAAACTATATTACAAAGCAATAACAATAAAAACAGCATGGTACTGGCACAAAAACAGACATGAAGACCAGTGGAACAGAATAGAGGACCAGATATGAAGCCACACAACTATAAGCAACTTATCTTTGACAAAGGAGCTAAAAATATACGATGGAGAAATAGCAGCCTCTTCAACAAAAACTGCTGGGAAAACTGGTTAGCAGTCTGCAAAAAACTGAAACTAGATCCATGTATATCACCCTATACCAAGATTAACTCAAAATGGATCAAGGATCTTAATATCAGACCCCAAACTCTTAAGTTGATACAGAAAGAGTAGGAAATACTCTGGAGTTAGTAGGTATAGGTAAGAACTTTCTCAATGAAACCCCAGCAGCACAGCAACTAAGAGATAGCATAGATAAATGGGACCTCATAAAACTAAAAAGCTTCTGTTCATCAAAAGAAATGGTCTCTAAACTGAAGAGAACACCCACAGAGTGGGAGAAAATATTTGCCAATATACATCAGACAAAGGACTGATAACCAGAATATACAGGGAACTTAAAAAACTAAATTCTCCCAAAACTAATGAACCAATAAAGAAATGGGCAGTGAACTAAACAGAACTTTCTCAAAAGAAGAAATTCAAATGGCCAGAAAACACATGAAAAAATGCTCACCATCTCTAGCAATAAAGGAAATGCAAATTAAAACCACACTAAGATTCCACCTCACCCCTGTTAGAATAGCCATCATCAGCAACACCACCAACAACAGGTGTTGGCGAGGATGCGGGGAAAAAGGAACCCTCTTACACTGTTGGTGGGAATGTAACTAGTACAACCACTCTGGAAAAAAATTTGGAGGCTACTTAAAAAGCTGGACATCGATCTACCATTTGATCCAGCAATACCACTCTTGGGGATATACCCAAAAGACTGTTACTCCAGAGGCACCTGCACACCATGTTTATTGCGGCACTATTCACAATAGCCAAGTTATGGAAACAGCCAAGATGCCCCACCACTGACGAATGGATTAAGAAAATGTGGTATCTATACACAATGGAATTTTATGCAGCCATGAAGAAGAACGAAATGTTATCATTCGCTGGTAAATGGATGGAATTGGAGAACATCATTCTGAGTGAGGTTAGCCTGGCCCAAAAGACCAAAAATCGTATGTTCTCCCTCATATGTGGACATTAGATCAAGGGCAAACACAACAAGGGGATTGGACTATGAGCACATGATAAAAGCGAGAGCACACAAGGGAGGGGTGAGGATAGGTAAGACACCTAAAAAACTAGCTAGCATTTGTTGCCCTTAACGCAGAGAAACTAAAGCAGATACCTTAAAGCAACTGAGGCCAATAGGAAAAGGGGAACAGGAACTAGAGAAAAGGTTAGATCAAAAAGAATTAACCTAGAAGGTAACACCCACGCACAGGAAATCAATGTGAGTCAATGCCTTGTATAGCTACCCTTATCTCAACCAGCAAAACCCCTTGGTCCTTCCTATTATTGCTTATACTCTCTCTACAACAAAATTAGAGATAAGGGCAAAATAGTTTCTGCTGGGTATTGAGGGGGGGAGCGGGAGGGGGTGGAGTGGGTGGTAAGGGAGGGGGTGGGGGCAGGGGGGAGAAATGACCCCAAGCCTTGTATGCACATATGAATAATAAAAGAAAAATGAAAAAAAAAAAGAAGTCTGCTTTTTAAGAACAAGGAGATTCTTCTCAGAAGTGTCCCCTCCCAATACTGGGTAGAACTTGATGGGAGCCCACTCTGAAACTAGCCACAGCTGGAGAGCAGGTTCGGGCCATTTGTGATTTACCATCCCTCTAGCTCCTGAACTGGGAGTGAAATCACTCCCACCTGAGTCACATGAGGTCAAGCGTGGGGGTGAGCTCTGCCAGAGTGCGATGGAGGTAGGCAGGCTGCTGAGACAGCCATTAACCTCATGACATCTGCTGCAGCTGCCCACAGCTCCAGCCTGCCCCTCCCATCAGGACTCACCCAGAGTTAGCTGTTTGATCCGTTCTGATGGCATGGAAGGCCCAGGTGATGGCCAAGACCTTGGCCCCTTTCCTGAAGGTGAATTCTCATAGAGGGCCTCAGATAAAACTTACTGAGCACTCTGGGAAGCTGAGCCCAGATCAGCAAAGTGACGTTAGTCTGGGAACTCCAAGCCAGGGATGCTGATGGGGTGAAGCCCCTGAGAGCCAGGGGAGAACTTTGGGCACAGGTAGACTAACATTTTAAATCACACCTAGATTGTCACTGTTGGCCTACCCCAGGTATGGCCATGCAGATAGGAAATGAGAAGTAGGAAGGGACATCAGAATAATGTTTAACCTAATCCGATTTTAGCTAAAATAAAAAAAAAAAAAGGTGTTTGCATGGTTGCTTCAGAAAGCTTTTCTTTTCTTCTTCCTCCTTTCCTTTCCCCTCCCTCCATCTCTCTCTTTCTTTTTTTTCAGTGCTGATAATTGAACCGAGGGTGTTATGCATGCTGAGAGTTATGCACACCCTCCCTTTTCTGTTTATTTCTTTTTTATTTTTAAAAAGAACCACCATCTTCTCTTCTATAATAGGAATATAAGATCACCTTTATTTGGAAGAAAAGAAATATTTCATACTTGTTATTTGAAACAGCAAAAGAAGTTCTCACCTTAAACAAGAAACCTAAAGATCACTTTTATAATATTTGAAAATAAAGCAACTTTATTTGAATCAGTCAATACCAATCAAGACTGGGGAACAAATTTATAGCTGGTTCAGAGTCATGAGGAAAACACTCAGCTATATCATCTTTAAAAGGCATTTTACATTTATTAAGGCTTGAAAGCAAGGTCTGTTATTTTATCACCACAGTTAAAGGTCTCAGGAAAATCAAGTAGCTATCATTCAGCCATCATTTTAAAAAATGAAATATTTGTTCTTTTATAAAAGGTAGGCAATGTTTGCTAAATTAGTTAGCTCAGCTTACAAAATAGGACAACCAGGTGGCAAGGATCATAAGATAATTCAAACACTAGTTGGATTTTTAAAAATACATGCATAGTTAATATTGTGAAATCTCTAACTATATACAAAATACCTTAGGTGCTGGATCCTTAAAACTGTGTTTTGCCTAAAAGCAAATTGCTAGTCTAGAAATACATATTAGCCAAAACCTTTTATTGAGGCAATATTTTATTTATTTTTGATAGCAGGGAGAATCAGAACTATTTCCTTAAATAATATGAAAAATTATGTACAGATTACACCTAATCATGAGATACAAGTGTCTGGAAATGAGGCTGGGAGAGGAATACTGATGAAGAGAAGAGGATGCATTTGTGGGGAGGGCAAATTCTGTCTGACTTTAATGGCAGAAAGCAGTGGATTCAAGGACACCAGCTTGTGTGCAGACAGGCCCTAAGGCCAATGACAAGGTCACTTATGTTCTCCTGACATCAGAATTGGGTACTTCGCCTGCCTACTTCTTTCTCTAAAGCTTTCTTAAGATTCTTCTCAATGTCATAAAAAAGATGACTCCTTTGAGAACCATTGAACTTAGTTTTAACCGTGAGTTAAGTTTTCCTCTTTCTAAGGACAGTGACACCAGCATCTTGAATCACTGTGCAATTGAGGTTTGCTCCTGGCCAGTGGGGAGAGAGGTGAACCACAGAAACAGCTACCGGACTTCTCCACCCATCTGATTTTTGATTTGATATGCAGAGTCTCACAGTGATGGAGAACTTTTTTTTGGCTGGCACAAGCTAGGTACTCTACCATTTGAGCCACACCTCGAGTCCTTTTGCTTTTAGTTTGTTTTTCAGATGGGGCCTTGTGCTTTTGTCTGGGTCCATCTTGAGCCTCATCCTTCTACCCTCGGCCTCTCAAGTTGCTGGGATTGCAGGTGTGAACTACCACACCCGATCCATTAGTAAATTTTTACTAGATAGGTGGAGGCTTCTGTTCTGTCTCCTTCTTAATTGTGGTTGTCTAGGTCACAATTCCTAGGATGATCCCTGGGACTTTAACATAATCAAGGTCTATCTGTTGCAGAAATGCCCCATCTTGTAATGATCCTAAAACTCTTGGTATTGTTTGTTTGAAGAATGGCCACCTCCTGGCACAGGAGCTGTGAAGAGCTTCTGTTGCTTCATTTGACAAAATGGCATAAAACATGCCCTCTGATACCTAAGATCCTTTCTGATCCCATCAGCACCAGAAGGGAACACTGAGGGCAGTGACATTTCCTAGGAAGCTGAATTAGTTTGGCATCACCTGGTTAAACAAGCTGATTCACTGTATTTCCCACTTTGTAACTAATTTGTTTGGTGCCAGGTACCTATCTAACCCCTAGTGTAACACAAGAGACTTACCTGTCTGTGATTCCAAACTAATCAGGCACCAGGCCTCCTTTGTCAGGACAGGAAGGAGCTATGCCCTGGCTCAATGAAGATTTTACTTATCCAGTATAGTTATCAAAATATAGTCATTAAAATCTTATCCAATGCTTTCTCTTTGGGCTAACCTAAGATACATGTTGGCCTAAATAGGTAAGTTCAACCCAGTAATTCTGACTCTAGCTTTCTGCCTCTGCCTTCCACTAACCTACCCCACAAAAAGTAGTGATGTGAAATTCAAAGAAGAGAATTAAATACAAAATAGGACCTCAACATATAGCTCTGCTATCTGTGCCAACAAAACGTGTTCTGAGGAACCAATGTTCATTTCGGACCAATTACAAAGACTACCTCCTACCCAAAGACTCCAGAATGCAGGCTCCAAACTGCCAGCCCTTTGCCTCTCTCTGAGCTGGTTGTTTGGACACCTGCAGACCTCACCTCACCATGGCTAAGAGGTGGCATGCTGTGCATAGGATAAGGTTAAAGGCAAAGCCCAGAGAGCCTGGAGGAGCTGAAGAAAAATCTCTTTTGAAAACAAAGACAGTAATATTATTATTTTTTATATAATAGGACAGATCTGTCATAAGACATCAGACTCTAAATCAGTGGTCACTTGCATTATACAATGGTCTACTGCTGAAATAAAAAGGTATTCCTGAATTAAGTACCCAGAAGAGCCTTCTGTAACTCCCAGCCCTCCTAAAACTGGTTATGATTGATCATATAAGATTCCCAAATATTGTCATTTATGTAAAAGCAACTCAACTATGGGGGGAACAGCTAGAAATAACAGTATTGATCTGGTTTGGACTTTTTAAAACAATTGTTTTTTAGACCTCTTTATTTGCTGGGTTGTAAATATCACATTACAGTCCTCAGGATTCCGCTGCCTCCTCTGGGGCAGCCACTCTCCTGGGTCACCTTGAATGCTATGCTTCACAGATGGGTTTCAACAATAGCCCACCTTTTGGTCACAGGATGGTGAGCTGCCTGGAGGTCAATTTGCCTGTGCTGTAAGGACAGGGAAAGGTTTCTGAGAACAGCAAGATTTCACACTAATAAAAAGGCCATCAGGATCATCGAGCTCTCATCCCCCGGGAGGCCAGTTTGGGGCTTTCCCCTGCCATAAAAAGGGCTGTTTCCTCCCCAGTTCTACATTTTAAACATCTCCAGAGGCAGTGAGCAGAGAGACTGTGGAAAGGTTTCTTTAGCAGTAGAAATGAATCAACTCATTCTGCCTCTTCAAAGCTCTCTCAGACTTATAAAATGTCCTGCTGAGCAATGTCCTCTTCCTCAGTGGGCTAAGGAGACCTGCTTCCTCCCTCAGTTTTGATCAATGGTCACTTTTTTTCCTTTGGAGATCCCTGGAGGCAGGTGTGTCCAGAAATTGCTTGGGTTAGCATTTGTTGATGTTTCTATGGAAAGGACCCGTGCTGTCCTGCCCTCCCTGAGCAATGAGCCAAGTCCAGGCTTTCCGGCACTCTGGAGCCTCACCCTCCACCAACAAGCGACACAGAGGACAGGATTGTTGAAGGTGGGGTCTGGAGGATGGATTTCCTCCCAGGGGCTTGCTGGCAGAGGGAGTTAATGATTAGTGCATTTTTCTTAGTTTCCCCATGCTTAGGACAGGTGAGCCTTTTAGGGGGTGAAACTCAAGGAGAATGACAGAGGAAAATATTAGGTAAAAAATTGTTGCCTTTTTTTTGTTGTTTTCATCTAGCAGTTGGTTCTGAGGGTAGGAAAAGTAACCCAGATGGGTACATATATTTCTTCAAGTTGAACCACATGGTTTCCCAGTCAGAAAGGCCTATGGACTTTCTTCCTAAGATGGTCCATGATCATATCACTTCCTAAATGCATCTCTCTCTCATGAGCTCCTTCCTGGGAACACCCAGCCAGAGACCTGCATCTAGGAGCAACTTTCTAAAAGGCTGGGAAGGAAGTTTTTGGCCAGTCCTTGGGTTTTTGCTATAAGGTTGGTAGTTATATAATATCACCAGTCCAAGACTTAGATCGTGAGAGAAAAAAACCAGTCTAAAAGTTTACTAGGGAATATGATGATCCTCCTCTCTTTCTCACACCAAAAGCCACTCACTGAACAGAACATACATTCAGACACTTGATTTCCAATGAGCAGCTAACCCTATGCAGGTGAGCAAAACCCATGGCTGTAGACCCTCAGGGGCCTTTTTGGCATCAACACTGCTCCCCTACCCCTCCCCATTATAGTCACCCCAGTTTGGAATTACAAGCCAGTTTCCTTCCTGGCAAGTCCAGGACAACGTGAAAACTGGGGGCCAGTTGCACAACAGCATTGCATTATTTCCGGCACTGCACTGAATTGAGACTGCATTTGAAGTGACTGGCCTTCAGTGCCAAGGACAAGAGTGTCAGAAGAATTAAGTGACTGAGGGTACTTTACCAGAGGCCCAAGCAGTTGGGTCCTTCCCCAATCACTGTTGCTCCTCACAAGGGATGGATGTCTCTCTAATGACAACTAAAATGGCATTTGTCCTTGGTCTCACAGTCACTGACTGTGGAAGAGGAGGATGGAAGCATTGCGTGTTGCTTAAGTATGAGAAGATATTTTGGTATTGGCAGAAGGAGAGTCCAGTGACAATCCTGTATGTGTGCCCTCCCAACTGACCCCTGATTAGGCCACAAGGGAGAGTTTGACTGTTTAATCCTCTCTGTTTGCCAGATTCCCTCAGCGTAAAGAGGCAGGTGATGGCTCTGACCTTCTTACAAGGTAGCAGACTGGAGTTCCAATGATGCCAGAAAGATGTGGCCTGATTAAAAAAAAAAAAATTTCCCGAGGCAATGAGGAAGAGGAGTCTAAAGTTGGAGGCCTTTGGGAGAAGTGGAGGTCTTCTGTGGCAGGGACAGACAAGAGGGCCTAGCTCAGGATCTGCTAAGGCGCTTGGCGACATCTGCATAGGCCAGCTCAATCTCACTGTCAGCCGCACAGGTGTTGGTGAATTCATCCCGGGCGTAGGCATTCTTGAGGTACCGCCACAGGCCTGTCATCTCAGCTGGGAGATCATAGTTGCGGTATTTCTTGGCCACAATCTAAAGAGAGATGACAGGACAGAGATGATGTGAAGGCTGAACACAAATCATTAGGACATGTCCTGTGTGTGTGTGCACAGCAGGACCACCTGCACGTATCTGTCACCACAGGCCAGCCGCAAAACGTTTGTGATGCAAACATAAAGTGGCTACAGCCTTCTTGTTTTATCTTGGCTTATAATTCTTTGACCTAGTGGTTCCATTTCTTCAGATTTTTAACTCAGGAAAAACTCATAGATGTACACAAAGATTTAGCTACACAGAATTATTGAGAATAGCAAAAAATGCATCCCATCACCATATAGAACTTAGGAGTGCCTAAATACTTTATTGTACATGAACATAGTGGCAAAGCAGAGAGCCATTAAAAATGATGCTATTTGGTCTGGAATAGTTCTCAAGACACACTGTCACATGTGGTATGTTGCATGTAGAATGTTACGTGTAGTGTGTTATATTTAGTGTGAATTATAACGCATCTGGAGAAACATGTACTCTGATTAGAAGCATGTATACCAATATATTACCAGTGGTTATGTCTGAGTGATAGAATTATAGACAAATTTTCTTTTCTTTGTTCTCTGGTCCACTTAAAATATAAAAATAAGTTAGGTGCTAGAATGTATGTGTAGGTCAAGGTTATTATGTGTGGGTAAGTAAATTGTGGTTTCTAGTATTTCCCTGGTTTGCTACACTCCGGGAAAAGACTTACACATGGACTAGGAAGGACATCTGGGAAAGTGGTGTTTGTTTTGACCAAAAAAATAGCACAGTGATTAAAAGCATGGACTCTGGATGTCAGCTGACTGGATTTGCAATCCTGACTCCACTCACCAACTCTGTGACCTTGGACAAGTTATTTAACTTCTCTGAGCTCCAGTTTCTTTATCTCTGAAAGAGAGGTGATCACAGGAATGATACCTTGGAGTAATAAATTAGTTAATACACATGAAGTGCTTAGCGGAGTGCCTGGCACATAGCAAGCATTCAATAAACAGGAAGTATTATAATTCTTTTTCTACCCATTTTCATGCATTTCCTTCATGAGCAGTGGCAGGGTGGTCTCTTGAATGAGGTCTGTCTGGCCAGTGCAGCTTCATGGACATGTGACCTGTGCAGAATCAGTGGGCCTTGCTCTTGGTTTAATGCAATGCTATCAACACCTACAAATTCTTAATATTTTTTTTTCAAAAAGGAGCCTTTGTTTTCCCTGTGCCCTGGGGCCTGCAAGTTAGCTGGTCTTGCCTCTAGCCCCTGGGGGCTGGATAGGACTGGGTACTAAGTGATAGTAGTTTCTCACTTAGTGCTGACTTCTGACTCCCTGGCTTTCTCTTCTGGGGAGGGCACCAGACTATTGACCCTGGGATCATCCTGCTCAGAGAACCCCAGATCAGTCATCCTGGGCTTTCACCTTCATTTTGGTGCTGGTGACCTGCAGAGTCCTCAGAAAGCTGTGCCAAGTGGAAGACGGTGATGACCTATTACATGAAGAGCTCGTTCTCAGATCCTTCCACATTCCAGATGCCAGTTTGGGACTTCCATTACGACACTAGCTGTCTTCTATTCTGAATCCCAAGTACTATGTAGGTATTTTTGTCTCATTCCTAGCCTGTGAGCAGTATAAGGAGAAGAACCACAACCTCATCACTCCTGGTTCTCTACAAAATCTCAGTAATGACGTTGATCAATGAAACAATATGTGGCTTAAGTGGTAGACTACTTGCTTTTCAAGTGCAAAGCCCTGAGTGCATGTTCCAGCCACACCAAAGGAAGAAAGAAAGAAAGAAAGGAAGAAAGAAAGAAAGAAAGAAAGAAAAAACCCAGCAAACATTTATTCACCGTGTGTTTTGTTCCAGGCACTGCTTCAAACACATTGAAAGTTATTTGAATCTCTAAGTTACACTATAAGAAAGAGCCTATTTGATTCTCATTTTACAGATGGTAAAAGTAAGGCATAGAGGTTAAATAAGTAGGGATTCGGTAAGCAGTTGGATTTAATCTTTACTATTCTCAGTTATCTTACCGTCAGGCAAATTGTATGTAGTGTCGTAAGTCATGAAAATCTCTTTTGTGGTAATGGGATTGAACCCAGGGCACCATGCCTGCTAGGCAAGAGCTCTACCACTGAGCCATATCCCTGGTCCTCAAATTGTTTAATTTTAAAGATAGAAGCTTCTTAGCAATAGGCAGACTGAAGCCAAGAGAGACTAAGTGATTAATGCCATGTTGCAAAGGCACTAACTAAACCAACATCTATTGAGCAATCGTCAACCTGCTTTCCAGTTCACAGTTTTTCCATCTTGTCCTTAGCCCTGTGTAAATGATAAGGAAATGGGCCAACTCAGTACCCTTGTGCCCAATTATTAGTCTATTACTGCTGTTGGGGCTCAGAGAACGACACCCTGGCACTTGGACATGAGGGGGGCCAAGAAGCCGCCCCAGGTTCAAAGTCCCTCTAACCTTGTCTTGTTTCTCCTCCTCAAGCACAGAAAGAGCCTTTCCCTGCAACTCCTTTGTCTGCAACAAGACAAGACCCCAAAAAGTGAAGACAACTGCCTTCTACTCCCACACCGGCATCTCATTCTCTCTCCAGAAAAGAAGACTGAGTAAGTACCCAGCTTTGTTACAAGACACTGTCTGTACCCCAGGGCTCATTCGCATCCAAAGAGAATCATCTTACAAGCTGATTTCTGTCTCCAGGTCCATTCATACCTCGAACATCATTTAGGACCCCTGAGAATTATCATGTTATTCATCTTCCTCGCCCCCTGCGAAGAAGGGCATGTGAACTTCAACTGTCAGGCCCTCCTTTGGTTCTCTTGCTTCTAGATGTCTCCCATGTTTCTGCACATTAATGAGCCTGTGAGCCTTTTCTCATTCCAGCAAACCTTCCTTTATCTTCAAGCCCACGCTTCTATTTGCTTCTTTGTGATGCTAGGGCTGGGACTCTTTACACTCCATCTCTGTGTTGCCTGTGAAGGCTGTTAGCCTCTGCAGAGCTTGAGAAGGAAGGAGAGGTATGAAATCCCTTCCAGTTAGAATCTCCAGGACTTTCCAGTAGCAGCTGCTGAGTCCAGTTTGCTATTTTGTCCACATGCCTAGAGCCATCTCCTTCACATTTGCTCAGAAATGCCAGCTCGTGGCAGGGGCCCTGCTGCAGGTTCTGGTCCTATAATCTCTCCCCTGAGCTTGGGCCCCAGCATCAGCCAACCTTCCCTTCCACCTCAGAGGACCAAGGTCCACCTCTTCAGGGCCCTTACATTAGTAAGTTTTTCATAATTCCAACGTTCTCTTTGTTCTCCTAGCCCAAGGGGCAGTAACAGCCTTTGAAGGTATAGCCTTGTGGTACATTTGGCTTTCCCAGTTCTTCAGGATGTAATACTTCCAGAGATATTAAACTCTCTGTTAAAATAATTGCCTTGGGGGACCACCAAAGAATCCATCTACAATGTTCTGTCCAGCTTATGTGTGGCCAATAAGCAAAAATGATGGACTTAGAGTCCTGTGACCGAGAACTGGCCGTGAGTAATATGAAGCAAACGCTCACCATCGGTTCTCCTTGGTCTCCTTCTATTCACAGCACGATGAAAATCACTTGAGTTTTCCCAAGTGGGTTTGAGAAGAGGCTGTCTTGGCTCATGAGCAAATCCATGCAACAGTGGTGGTCTGACCAAGAGAACTAGCTAGAACTTGCCAGTGAAAAGGGCTCAAAATAGACTCATGTAATCTGTCCAAAGATACTGTCCACAATTGTATACTGATTAATAGAGCTATCTTAAGTTTGTTCATGCTGAAATTTTATTGTCAGTGGGGTGTGTGTGTGTGTGTGTGTGTGTATGTGGAGTAGTAGGGTTGAATCCAGGGTCTAGTGCAGGTTAGGCAAATGCTCTGTGTTTTTAAAGGATAGACTATTAGCTTGAAAATAGCAGAAATGCAATTAATGAATCTATATTTGTGTTTACATATGATCTCTTTTCCTGTTTGCCTCAGGGATTGAACATGGTCACTGTGCTGGGCCAGGGTCCTAATGCCAGCCAGGAAAGGTCTGTAGATGTACTTCCCAATGAGCCCTGTACACCCTTGGCAGCTGAGATGGTTCTTGCTCACAGGTTGACTTGACTTGTGGGGATGAGAACCAGAAGGGAGACAAACAATGCAAATTCAAATCAACCTCTCAGTGATCACTGGGCCAGGGCCACTCAGCGTCTATTGACAGAGATGGACCTAAAGGAAGCCAGGCAAGAGTGAGCAGACGAGGTTGTGCACACTCAGTTCTGACGTTTGCAGGAACTTCCATGCTTATGTCCTGAATTTGCTGTTTCATATGAAAATAGTTAGCTCCCACAGCCTAGATTAAGTTTTGGTATCTGAGGCCAAACTGGAGGCCTGACTTGGCTCCCCTTTTGCTCTTTTTGCACTGCAGAGGTTTGCCAGGTCCCTGGATCTGATAAGCTGGATCAGCAGAAATCCAAGGAGACGGGAGCTGAGGCCCAGCCTTTGTTCCCTCGCAGGCCATCCCCCCGCTGATCCCCAGCTTCTCCAAGTGAACAACCCACTGAACTTCCTCCAAGGACAGGGGATTAACTTAGTCATTTAGGGCTGGAAGGAGCTGAAGCAATTAGAGGATGATGCATAAGTCCTGGGAGAGCCATTTGTTCGCCTTCCTCAGCAAAGGATTCTTAAGTGGATTGTCAATACATATTGGAATAAGAGAGAATGAAAGAAGGAAGGGAAAGAAGGCAGGAAGGGATATGACCCACACCTCTTCTTTTAGGCCTGAGAAAAATGAATTCCAAAAAGATGAAATGATTTGCCCTAGCTTATGCTTCTACTTGGTGGTAGATACAGAACTAGAACTTGGAATTCCTTGATCTTTCTATTATATCACTTTGACGGTGCAATTGAGCAGTCAGACATCCCCAGTGATGCTACTTATTCCTCAGGAAATTAGTGCATGTGGGTGGGGCATGCACTAATTAATGACTTCATAGTTATTTGAAATTGGCTGGACTGACAAGTGACCATTGGCTTGGTATCTAGCCCAAAGTGTCTTCAGATTGATGTATTTTCCCACCTCATAAGCACACGATTTCCTAGACCTGAGGGACACTGGGTCATGTTCAGTAGAAATCTTCTTAGTGAAGGGTAGAAAAACTGGAAATCACAGGCACACCCTAGGTGATCAAATGAGTAATTGATGTGTATTTATTTAAAAGGTCACCATGCTCCCATCAGCATGCTTGAAAAAGGACCTGTCCTTACAGAGCTTATCATCTGATAAGACTTGGACATATGTAAAAGTAAGGAATAGCATGGCCTCAGGATCCCATTGTCTTTTTCTTTAGTCAGTAAGGGTCAGAAAAGGATGTGGGAAATTGTGTTTGTTTAGAGAACTTAGGGAGAGACAGCTGCTGTCTTCAAACAAGTTGAAAGAGAGCTTTGTGTGCTCCAGGGTACACACTTGGGTCCATACAAGGAAGAATAGTTTAATAATCAGAACTGTCCAAAATAGTAAGGCTTGCTCCTGAGGCAAAGAACTCCTCACCCCCCAGAAATGTGCCATCACACTGCACAAAAACCTGTCACAGACACAGCAGAAAGCACACCAGTTTGGGTTCAGAGATGTTTCAGATGACCTCTGAATATCCTTCTTTCCAAATCTCACATCCTAAGGTTTGTTGCATAGAAAAGGATTACTCCACATGCTGCCATGATCAGCAAGCAACAAGAGAAGAAAGTGTCTCTCTCCCCCTTGCATCTCCCATTTTGTTAGCTAGTAAATGAAGAAGATGATGTGTGTTTAGCCACTAAAGAGGCTGGACACAAAAAAGATGTGAAGGTATTGGTAGAGACAATACCAGGAAGAAGGCTTTGGAGTGATACAACTTTATATAATAATTACAATAGCATTTTTTATATAGTAAGCCCCTATAATATGCTAAGGGATTTCATATCATATTGATTCTCCCAATAGCTCTAGAGGTAAGCCATACATGCCTATTAAATAAGTGAAAACTGAAGCTCACAGAGGTTCTACACTCCATAAGTCATGGAGGATTGGGTCCCTATTTCTCTGACTTCAGAGCCCAGATTATGACCACCAGAGAGTATTGCTCTTAACTCTTCCTCATGGGTGAACTGGGCTGAGATGGAGCTTGATCTTTCCAGCCCCTGTGGGTAGACCTCTCCTACCTTGACCACATGGAGCTTGGGCAACAGATTGCAGTCGGCCAGGGTCAGCTCATCCCCATCCAGGAACTTGCGCTGGGACCCCTTGTCATCATCCCCATGAGCATTGGCATCAATCTCCTCTGGCAGAGGGGTGTTCAGGTAGTCATCCAGTTTCTTCAGGGCCTTGGTCAAGCCTCTCTCGAGGGCTAGAATGGAGAGCAAAAGAAGGACCTTTACTCAACTTCTTGTCTCTGGATATAGTCACAAGTTCTTCAGAATAGACCAGCTCACCCTCAGTCTTATTCCCTTTGTCACTCTGCAGCTCACTACACACTACAGAATACCTGGTAGCCCTTCACATGATGCAAGTGTATTAAATGGTCTGAAAATGCAAACACTAATCAAACAAACCCCAATCAAATAATAAATGCTAACTAATCAACCTTATTTAAAAATGTATATAAATATAGAAATGCAACTGTTAGGATATGTAGCAAAGTGTTTATAGTGCGTATCTTTAGCAGGTATAATAATACTAGTCAACTTCCATTTTCTTATTTTTCTTATCTATGTTTTGTCAATAAACCTACATATTAATTTTGTAGAAAGAAAGGGCTATTAAATAAGTAAATAAAAATGACATAGAAATCCTAGGATAGAAATATGACCAGATTTTGTAGTCATATCTCTGATCATTACCTGTGGTTAACCCAACTGGAGAAGGGTAGGGGACCACCCTTTCAGCAGAGAGATGAATCCTGATTGGTGCTGCCCTCAGAGAAGCAATGGGTGTCCTTCAGGCACACTGAAGTTTGATCGAGGGCAAGCTGTCTACAGCTCAGAGCTGTCCCAAATGGCAGGACTAGCCTATCAGGCAGCAGTGTCCACTAGAAATGTGCAATTCTAAGAAAATGTCATGGATGCAGCTCAAGAATGAATACCGAAAGGAAGATGATGTGGCAGATTTTTAATAGCCTTGTCTCAATAACTGTCTACCAAACAACTCATTTAGACACACTAGCAGAGAAAAGTACCCAAAGAAAAACTGTGGGAAGCCACTGTCACTCAGAGTCCTTCCACTAAGAATCTTACAGTCCATTCCAATCACAGAGCAGTGACACAAAACCTTTCTACCTGAGGGCAGAGGGCCACAGAGGAGATAACTGCCTGGGTCACTGCATCTGTGTCGTCAGCCCCATCTCCCCAGGCTGTTTCTCTAGACTCTGGTTTAGAGCCTGCTACTGAGATACTGGGTGTCAGTCCTGATGTTCAAGCCAACAGATACAAGGGGGATGTAGCTGTCGGGAGGAGAAGCCAAGAGGACTGTCTTCCAGTTCACATTTTCCCAAATGTGCCTTCTGTTAGACACTCCTCACATAACCAGCTTTGTCTTTTCATAGAAGGTCTTTTGTTTGAGACAATGGAATGACACTAGCCCAAGATAAATCAGCTGAACGCTTACTGGAATTTTTGAAAACTGACTGGAGGTTGGACAGAGTTTCTCAATGCTTCCTTCTCCCTGGTGTGGCATTTGAACTTGTGCTTCATCATCTGCTTTATGTTTCCAGTTAGGGAGAACAGAGTGAGAAGGGCTGGGAAAAATGCTTGTATTCCCCTAGTAATTGTCTAGACTGCAACACGATTAGCAGATTATTCAAAAGCAATGGCAGAGGGTGGGTACTAGACAATACTTATTATGCTTTTCTCCCTGAAGCACTTGTGATTTGTACTGAGCTTGTTTGCTCACTCAAATTCCTCTATCCCTCAAAGGATAAAAATCCTGATTATAATGGAAAAAGGAACAAATAAATGGAGTGCCTATCAAAATTTGACCAACTGGCTTCACCCAAGGGATATGCAGAGATGAAGGGAAATGAGACATTCCCAGTCCTAGTTCCCATTGCCCCTTCCAGACCTCAGCAGGCCACAGAACAAGTCTATCCTCAAGTCTTTGGTCTGGGAACTACCATGGCATTTGGTGAAAAGGCCTGGGACAATGACTGAGTCTCTTTGGAAGGCTAGTTCTGAATAAATTTCAGTATCTTTCTAGTGAGCCCTTGAGATAGAATGGATAATGGGTGTAGTTGTTGCCCTCTGTACAACTACAACATGTCACACAACATGCCACATTCTGAGGATGTCCTCCATATGTGAATTCTGTCATCTGCATTTGTGTATTTTTGGCCAGGAATGTGCAGATTGGGGTTGATGATATTCATGGGAGAGAGAAGAGATGAGGCAGCAGGGATGGGGCCATGTGGGCTGGATTCACTAGGAAGCTTCTGAGGCTTCATGTCAAGGTTCCTGAATTGCATGGACCTCTTCCAAGACCTTGCAGCTGATTTTTAAAATTCCCTAATTGTATGTATTGTATTGGCTTCAGACCCCACAAATCCTGCCCATGCTTCTGGTCCTGGTATATAAATGTGACCTTAGGTAAGTTCCTCCAACCTCATTGAATTTCAGTTTTCTCTTCTCAATAATGAAGTTGAAGATCCCAACTCATATATAGCCACTGTGAGAATTAGGTTAGACAAGGCAGGGGAATAGCCTGACACAGGGCCTGGCCCAGACCAGGAGATCAGTTAGTGGTCATTCTTGCTCTTGCATTACCAAATGTGGTGGTCATCCTTTTGTGTATGCATCACCCCATACTCTTGGTCAGTATATTCCTAAAATTTCCAAGGTAAAATAGAGACTGAGAGAGTCTAAGTAGCCCCAATTCTGAAACCAAGTCCCTACAGAGGAAAATTGACTACCTGGAACTTTGCTTCCCTCACTTGTTTAATGTACAACTGTAGCCCTGTCCCTTGTGCTCCCTTGGAATCTTTCTGGGTGACAAGCCTGTTGACAGGCATGGTCAGGGACAAACAGATGCAATGTGCCCATGTGCTGAAACACTGCCATGTTATAGAATTGCAATGGCAGCACCCATACATTCTCTGCCAGCTCTTTTCCCTCCTAAAGTGCCAACTCATTCTACAGACCTGGGCTCAGTCTGGAATCTATAGAATTGAATGAGCTCTTTTGGTGAATGGCACCAGGTCATGAAACCATTCATATTGAACTTTCTGCTCTGATAAGAGTGAGGGGGTTATGAAAGAGGCTGGTGCGACAAGAAAGTTTGAATTCCTTCAATGTTTGTGTTTGAAACCCTTTGAAAGTGTTTTCTCAGAGTAACTGGATGGGGTAGCCTCAGGCTACAGCACATGAGCCTGGGCTGGAGGCACCCAAGTCCTCGCTTACTAATGTCTCTAGACTTGATGGATGCCCAGCCATTTAGCTGCTTTCTTCCCCTCTCTGCCTCTGCTCCCCATAAAGATTTATTCTGTACCACACACAAATGCACTGGGTAAAATATGTGATGAGGAAACAAGGAGAATAGTTCATAAATATTCTCAGCCATATGCAAACAATCTCAAATTTATTTTTCTCTTTTTTTAAGGAGGAAAAAAAATCCACCCATTCCATGATCACTTCCAGATTCATTGAGGTTGATATTACATAAGACCTAATATTGTTTTCTCGTTGTAGAGAAATAATGACTTGGAAACAGCAATTTGAGCTAAGAAAATAATATAGTCTTACCAGGGCATGGAGGCTGAATAGGGACTGGGGAGCCAAGACTCTAACCCAGCCTCCAACAAGTTCTTGCAAGCATGGTTCAGCTCTAGTTTGCTGGCAGCTGGGTGCAGCCAGGAAACTAATGAGTGCCAGGACAGAAAAACCCCTGGGACTCAAAATTCCAAGTGGAGGGGCCAGATGTCAGAGGTGGTCTTTGAAAAGACAGGAGCAGGTCTGTAGGCCCAGGTAGCTGCATGGGTTCTCATGTGTGTTTTTTCCTACCATGTGTACTTCCAGGAAATCAGAACCAAGGATCCACCTCTGACCACTGTCTATAGCCTGGATGACTGTTTGTCCAACCCTCCTATGAAGCAGGAAGAGTGTGGCTGTTGGTACAGGTCCCGGGCTTTGCATTCTCTACCCTGTTCTATTCCTTTCATTTCTCTAGTCAATCCCATTCCCCAGCACCAGAAGGACATACACTCACTGAATTTCTGAAGGAACCCAGGGAGGTAGATGCCCCTGTCATTTAAATACACCATGAGGCTATAGTTCATCCTCATTTAATAAAGAAACTGAGTATGAGACTTACCCAGGGCATGTCCCCTAGTACAAGTACACAAATAGCTGGGTCCTTACATTAAACTACTCCTGGGATGTAAATGAAAATGTACCTTGTTTAGTTTTTAACTGCTATGGTCTTCTTTACAAACTCCCATACCCTGGGTAGTGGGAAGACAATTTTAATTTTTTTAATTTTAACCTAGTCTGATGTAACAATCCAAATTGTCCCCCTAGAGAATTCTCTCTCTTTTGCATAAAAGTGCTCTGTTTCTCAAGATAGCTGCCTTTCCTCTTCTCCCTGCATCAATGGGCTGGGGTAGGGGAAGAGGCTCTTTTGACTTCCTGGCAAAAGGGGAATGGGAGTTCTGAAATCTATGGAGCCAGAGGCGTTGGGAGCTAATACAAGTCCTGGCTTCTTTCCAGAGTAACCATGAGGACGTTAGCTCTAAAGGTGTGTCACAGGTGGGTTACTTATCCCCCACCCAAATGCTGGAAATATTCCCAAGAAATTACTACATGGGACTCTAAACACATCTTTAGCTCCCTGACTCCCTCTTTCTCTCCTCTTCTCCTTCATCCTCAAATTTCCCAAGCCAGAAGTGGTGGGCTTTTATTTAGTTTTCTATTTCAAAAGGCAACTTTTAGTTTTCCTTTCAAGAGGTGATGGAACACACAGCAGTAAACCTCCTGGCCTAGGCACGCTAGCTGAAGGGCTGTCTGTATTCTGTGAGCTAGAGCCCTCCAGGCAGGTTTCTTGATGGGTAAAATCTGAGAAAGAAAAGAATTTAGAAAATCTTAAGTCAGTAACTTGGGTTACAAGGTCACTGTCTTGTTGAAAATGCTGTTTTGAATATGAGGAGCTAAATACCGAATTGCTTTTTCTGTCTTAGAATTCCTTCTAAAGAAATCCTAATCTCTCTGGAGCTGGTGGATGTCTAGGATGGATTAAAATCACACACTCAGAAAGGTAAAGAGGAACATATTTTAAAATGTTTGACCTATTATACAAGTTAGGAACAAAACCAGGACTTAAAAACAGTCATTGTACCTCAAAATGTAAACCTCCTCAACTCTGCAG